CCCACTTGGTCGCCTTCCTGCTCTCGTTTCACATTGGCCCAGCTCCTGTGCACTCCCCCAGGGTGGCGCAGAGTCATCTCCCGCACAATCTCCCCAGTACCGCAAGGCAGGGGACTGTTGTTGGGTCAATGGTGGGGGACTGTGTGCAGCTAAACATCTAGAACACCTCACTGTGGGCCACCTGTGTGCATGTCTATGTGCAGACAGCACGATCCCTGCCCCTGGGCCCCTTCCTCCATTGCTGGCTAGCTGGAAGGGCTCAGGGTTGAGTGAGGGCATTACCATTACCTCTGATGACCTCATTGTCAGCTAGCATTATGATGTCATTGGCCTAGCATTCCAGGTTCCTGCCTGGGCATCTCCAAGCCCCCTGGGTGAAGACACTCCCTGGGGTCTGTGACAACTCGCCCCCCCCCATGCACGTAAAGGTGACAGGCACGGTAACAACCCCAGGGGGTGGGGGCAGCCTGGGGACAGCTGGGTCACCTTGCCCTGGACTACTTTGTCAGTTGCACAGGCAGAGCAAAAGTGTCACACAGCAAGATGACTAATATTTGGGCTCTGGGTTCAAATTCGAACCAGACCGGGCACCAGCCATATGACCTTGGCCTGACAGTCTGAACAGCCTCAATTTCCTCATCTCTGAAGCTGCTTACTAGGCTCTATTTCCCGGTAAAGCATGAGAGCACGGGGCCTGATACAGTAGGTGCTCAATAAATGCTAACTGATACGGTTAGGTAGTGCGGGGACTGAGTGTCACTTGATGCGGGGAGCTGGTTGGAGAGGGGTGGGTCTGTGTCTTCTGGGGCTGGCTAGAGCCTGGGAGGCAGGGCATGGTCCCAGTGTCAGGAGAGTGGTTCCAGCTTTGACTTCCTGACTTCCAGCTTAGCCAGTGAGCTAGAGCCCATAGGAGCTTGGGCCCCATAGCCAGGCCCTGAGGCCAAGAACCCGGTGACTCTCAGCCTCATCCCTATCAAGCTATGTTTCCCAGGCCGTAAGCCAGACTGGGCTGGGATCCACCCACCCCCTGCCTCCCTCTCAGAGCTGTGGGCATGTGCAGCTGCTTTCTCTTGGTCCCCAGGTCCCCAGGTCTTGGATTTTCCTCAGGGCTCTTTCCATGTCTGTCGGACCCTCAAGTCTAGGCTGGGCTGGGAGCCTCCGATCTCTCTGAGCCCGGTCCCTCGTTATTGGCTTCCCATAAGGCTCTCTTCTCAACCATGACCCCTTGCCCTGTCCTCTCTAAACCCCCCTTTCTCTGACCTGCCCCCAGGGTTCTGTGTCTCATAATCTTCTCTCTGCACCACCTGTCTCTGTTCTGCCCCCCTTGCCCCTCTCTGCCCCCCAGCTCCCCATGACCGGTTCCCCCCACACTCCCTCCCTCTGGGCTCTGTCCCCGCCCGTCAGCCCATGGTCCCAGCTCCCGGCCGCCCGGCTCCTGCATGGACAAAGGGGTCCTTTGTGGGCTGACCGCGGCTGGCGGGGCGGCGGGGCGCTGGCTCCGCATTGCTGATGAAACGGAGCCCTTTGTTGTCCCTCCTCAGGCGCAGTATTTCTTTTTGGGGGCTGGATGCGTTCCTGGCAGGGCCGATGATGGATGCGCCCGCCGCCGCCCGCCTGCCCGCCAGCTTTCCCTCCCGCTCATTCCCGCTCCGCTTCAACGCAGCCCCAGCTCCTCCCCTGCTGCCTGGGCACTGCCAGGCCTTTTTCTGGCCTGGGAGGGGGTTGCTGTGTGCCTTGCAGTGGAGGGCAGGGGCCTGGGAGAAGGTCTTATGTCTCCCCTACTATGAGGAGGGCAGACAAGTCCTGTGGTCAGTGGTCCTCTGGGACCAGGGCATCACCTTTTCTCAGGGTCTAAAGGAGATGAGCCAGGTTTAGGGGCAGATTTGGAATTGGCTTAGAGACTAGGCCTCACAGACTAACTAGATGTGAGTATCTGCACACTCTGGGGTCTGAGGAGTTACCTGGGTGCCAGTCCCCCCTTGTGTACTCCCCACCTTCAGTTTCTGTGGCTGACGAAATAGCGTTCTGCCTGCAGCACCTGTTTGATGACATATCACGTCTTCTGCTCCACGGCCCAGTATGTCCCAGGACCTGGGGGGTTGGGAGAGAGGGTAGTCCCTGAGGAAGAACAGAAAGATGAAAGATCAGAGAGATGCAAGGAAGGGGCCAGAGATGAACAGAGCATGAGTTTTAGTCCCTACCACGGGACTCAGGATGGAGACAAAAGCAGAGAGAGTCAGCCAGAGCACCAGCCCTGAACACAGGCCCGTGTTGGAGAGCGCTGACTTCTAATTGACCTGCCACCCTGCACACAGAGCCAGATCCTGGAGCTGGGTGGAGGGGGGGGCGGGGAGCAGGAGCAGCGTTAATGTAGCTATCGATTCCTGCCACCAGCCAGCAGGCCGCAGAGGCGGGGACACACGGGGGGCTAGGGTGCAAGCCGCTCCCCTCCCCACCTCTCCCCTGCCTCTGCAGCCCAAGGGCTCCTGCCTTCTCTTTTCTCCCCACACCATGTCCAGGCCTACCGGGCACTGTGTGCTCTGGGGTGGGGTAGTTGAGCTCAGATGGGCAGGGGCAGTTAACCTGGGGTGACGGTCTCTGGCCCTAGTCCTCAACACCGAGCCAGGGTCACTGATGCCTGGATACGCACTGATTTCTGAGGGAGGGCCTGAGAGCCACCCTGGGCTTAGCCCTTAGAGGTGGGACACAGCCCCGCCATCCTACCAGCTCCCCTTCCTCTTACAACTCTGACCTCTGTAGTACCCCCAGCCTGGCCCAGCCTAAACACCCTGCCAGGCGCTCCTGGGTTTGTCCTGCTAGAACCTGCCAGCTCTCCCAGCTCTTGCCACCCATCTACCTTCACTAAGCAGAGTGGACGTGGGCCGCTGCCCTCTGGGGAGAGGCAGGGAGCACCTGGCTGTCTGTGGATGCCTGCCATTTTTGCCTCTCTCAAGAGACAGGGCTTTTCCCTTTCCTACACTCGCTCTGCCTTGTGGCCACTCCTTAGCAGTCCTGGAACAGGGAGCCCTGCCGGCTCAGGGCCTCAATTCCCCCTATGTAAGTGCAGAAGGTTGGACTAGATGACCTCCTGGGACCAGGACCGGCAGAGTCCTGTGACTGGGGGATGGTGAGGTTGCCTGGGGACAAAGATGCATGTGTGCCGCCCCCAAGCCTGGGGCGGGACAGGCCTAGCCAGATGTGCACCTCCCCCTTGAGCCGCCAGCTGCTCAGGCTGGGCCCTCCCCTCCTATCCCTCTCCTGGGGGTTGCTGGGCTATGGCAAGCAGGCAGGCAGGGATGCGATGCTAGAGAGCCAGGGCTAATGAGACAGCCACTCCACTCCTTCGCACAATTCCTTCCAGAGATCCTGGCCAAGGAGCCTGGCTGCTCCTTAATCCTGGGGCCTGAGCAGAGCAGGCTCTTGTCCTAGGAAGAGGCACCTCAGAAACATGGATGTGGCCAAAGAAGAGTCTCTGGTCCTGGAGGGTCACACCCACGCTCAGTCCCAGCATGCCCTAGCCAAGGCCCCTCCTGCCCACAGCCTTCCCCAGCTCAAGGCTCTCCCTGGGACCTCATCCCAGACCCATCTGGGAGCCAGGCTGGAGCACAGCAGGGAGGCCTGAGTAGAGACAGGAGTGGGGTCTGAGGTAATGATGACTATGGTTTGAGAGTGAGGAGGAAGCGTGTGCTGATACGTTCACAGCGTGTCCCCCCACTCTTGCAGGAGAAGGCTTATCCTCTGGCACGTGCTGCTTGCCCTCTAGCAGGATACATGCGCCTTGAAATAAGGATTCTGTGCTCTATTTGGCAACCTCTGAAGTCAGTTTCCTTTCCCTGCAGGACTTGTCAGAGCCTTGAGATAATCCATATGTATTATGAATTGCCAAATGAGAGTCTGGGAGCAGCTTCCCAGACTTTTTTTTTTTTTTTTTAAGATTTATTTATTTAGAGAGAGCATGCACACCGGAGCACAAGCAGAGGGATAGAAACTCGAGCAGACTCCCTGCTGAGTGACGAGCCCAACACAAGGCTGGATCCCATGATCTTGAGATCTTGACCTGAGCCAAAATTGAATTGGATGCCTCAACTGAGCCACCTGGGCACCCCAACTTCTCAGACTTCTGGTCTACACCTTCAAACTTTTCAGAGGCTGTTCCAAACCCTTTTGTAGATGGGTCAGAGAAAGAAGATTAGGAAGCAGAAGATGACTCTATAACCCTCTGAGGTTAATAAACAACTCCAGTGCTTTCTACTCCCAGCCCCGGAAGGACTGGCCAGAGACCTGAGCTGTACAGACCCAGGCTGAGCCTCTGCCATGACACTCAGTAGCTGTGGTCAATTCTTCTAAATCTTGAATTCCTCCTCTATAAAATGAGGATTATGAGCTACTACTTCAAAGGGTGCTTGTGCGTCTTAACTGAAATAGTACAAATAGGGGCTCAGTCGCTTAAGTATTCAACTCTTGATTTAGGCTCAGGTCATGATCTTGGGGTTGTGGGGTTGAGCCCCTGCATCAGGCTTGTGCTGAGTTGCAGAGTCTGCTTGTCCCTCTCTTTCTGCTCCCCTCCCCGCTTGCACTTGCTCTGTTCTCTGTCTCCCTCACTCTCTAAAATAAATAGAATGTTTTTTAAAAAGTATACACAGGGTGCCTGGGTAGCTCAGTCAGTTGAGCGGCTGCCTTCATTCAGCTCGGGTCACGATCCCAGGCATGTGACAAATTAGCCCTGTGTCAAGCTTCCAACTTAGTGGGGAGCCTGCTTCTCCCTCTCCCTCTGCCGCTCCCCTTGTGTATTCTCAATCTGTGAAATAAATAAATAAAATCTTAAAAAAAAAAAAAGTAGTACACCTAAAAAGTACTTGACCATGTTGGACCTGGCACTTAAAAAATGCCCCGCAGGGCTTGCGGCTGTAACAATGGTGATAGGGTTGTTGGGAGTGATGGTGAGGTCAGGAAAGGAGATGTTTCCACCGCCCTGACCCTCTACTCTCTTGTACCAACAGAGTGAAGACCCTTCCAGGTGGACACCTGACCATGTGCCTGCCCTGAGTAGCGGGGCCCACCAGGCATCTCTGTCGTGGGCAGCCGCGCAGTGCTCGTCTGTGGACCTCCCAGGAATTGGCAGCCCTCCCACCCCGCCCCCAGCAGTGGGCTCTGGGCCTTGGCCCCACCATGTCGAGCCTCGGCAGTAGCCCCCAGGACAGTGGTGGCAGTAGCAGCGGCAACACTGGTGGCAGCGGCCCCAAGGCAGGAGTAGCCGACAAGAGCACGGCAGTAGCCACTGCCGCGCCAGCCTCGGTGGCAGATGACGCGCCGCCCCCCGAGCGTCGGAACAAGAGCGGCATCATCAGCGAACCCCTCAACAAGAGCCTGCGCCGCTCCCGCCCCCTCTCCCACTACTCTTCCTTTGGGGGCAGCGGGGGCAGTGGTGGTGGCAGCATGATGGGTAGCGAGTCTGCTGAAAAGGCCGCCGCCGCTGCCGCCGCCGCCGCCTCCCTGTTGGCCAATGGGCACGACCTGGCGGCGGCCATGGCCGCGGACAAAAGCAACCCTACCTCAAAGCACAAAAGTGGTGCTGTGGCCAGCCTGCTGAGCAAGGCAGAGCGGGCCACGGAGCTGGCAGCCGAGGGACAGCTGACGCTGCAGCAGTTCGCGCAGTCCACGGAGATGCTGAAGCGCGTGGTGCAGGAGCACCTGCCGCTGATGAGCGAGGCGGGCGCTGGCCTGCCCGACATGGAGGCTGTGGCGGGTGCCGAGGCCCTCAACGGGCAGTCCGACTTCCCTTACCTGGGCGCCTTCCCCATCAACCCAGGCCTCTTCATCATGACCCCTGCGGGCGTGTTCCTGGCTGAGAGCGCGCTGCACATGGCCGGCCTGGCCGAGTACCCTATGCAGGGAGAGCTGGCCTCGGCCATCAGCTCGGGCAAGAAGAAGCGGAAACGCTGCGGCATGTGCGCGCCCTGCCGGCGGCGCATCAACTGCGAGCAGTGCAGCAGTTGTAGGAACCGAAAGACTGGCCATCAGATTTGCAAATTCAGAAAATGTGAGGAACTCAAAAAGAAGCCTTCCGCTGCTCTGGAGGTAACAACGCCTTAGAGGGAGGTGTGTGTGTGGGCTTTTGTGTCTGGCTGGCAGTCCAAACCCACTCCCACCCTGCCCGACCCTACTTTTCCTACTTGGGCCAGTGTCTGGGGGCTGCTCAGCTGATCCCGGGGCTCCATGGTTCCTGGTTACACACTAGTTCACCGCCCAGAGCCACCTCCTGAGATCTCATTAGGTTGTAGTTTGCAAGGCAAGCATGGAGTTCCAGGCAGGGGCTGAGCATATCCGACCAGGCCCAGGGATTCTAAACCCTTCCCTGGAGGTTTGGGCCACTAGTGGGGTTTCCAGATAGGTCCTAAGTTTCTGACTTTTAGACGTATCTTGTAGCTTCCAATCTATGCTCTAAGATTCTGGGGCTCTCCCATGTCCCGCTGGAGGAGTTCTGTCCTTTGAACCATGTGGCATTAAAGGGTAAGCCCCTTACTAAACTCGCCCCTTCAGAGTCCATCCTTTTCCCCTAAGGCCACCCCCAGTGCTCACTGTCCTTCCCTGAGGCCTGGAAGAGCCATGCATCTAGACATCTAATAACAGATTTGGGATTTCTTGGGGCTCCAAGGTCAATCTGGCCTCGTAGGTAATGGCCAGGAGTCGTATAGGCCTCAGGCGAGGAGGTGGCTGTGATCTTGGGGTATAGGCAAAGCCTGTCCACTCTGGGATGATTGGCTTTCTGGAAAAATCACCACATAGCCACATGGTCTAGGCCAAGGTGGCCTGAACAGGAAGGCTTACAGCAGACAGAAGGGTTCCCATACTGCTCTTTCTCCACCCTCATGGCAGAGCTTGTCCCTGTGCCCCCAGCCGTGGCAGCCTAGCTGTGGTGCCAGGCCTGGGTACAAAAGCATCTTTTCAGCCTGCTGTCCTGGCCCCATCCCCACCTCTCTGTGAGTGGGCTGGACGCAAATGTTCGAGTGGTTGGAAAATAATAATGACATCCCAGCCGTGGCTACTCCCCACCACAAGCCCCAAGCTTCCTGTATCTGCTCTCCTGCTCAGAGAACACACCTATGTGCACACAGAGGCACCCGCTCTCAGCTCATGTAGACACAGACACATACACGCAGCCCTCCCTGCCCAGTACCCAGGCTTACTCCAGACTGAGCCTCTTAACACAGCCAGTACCCTTCCTACACACACACACACACACACACACACACACACACACACACACACACGACATGCTGTGGCCTAGCCCAAGGCACACATCCATATATGCATCTAGTGCATGCGCTAACGTGTTCATTCAACAGAAACATGCACATGGCCCCCAGATGCACTGCAGCCACCTGGTGCTTGTGGCCTCTGGACCAGGGAAATGGGTCTTCCTGTTTGGAAGGAGGGTGCCTGGACACGGTGGCTCAGGGGGCCTTAGAGTGCTCCGGGCCCTCCAGCGGCCCAGCGGGTCAAAGCTTCTCTCTGGCCTGGTCAGGATGGCAGGAACTCCACGGGGTGGCTGCCTTGACTCCATGCTCATCCCTCTGCCACGAGGCCATACACGGGGGAGCATCTTTGCACCAGGCCCCGCCGGACCCTGACTGAATTCTCTCCTTGTTTTTGTCTCCTGCCCCCCCTCCCCCGCCAGAAGGTGATGCTTCCGACGGGAGCCGCCTTCCGGTGGTTTCAGTGACCGGCGGGACCCCAAAGCTGCCCTCTCCGTGCAATGTCACTGCTCGTGTGGTCTCCAGCAAGGGATTCGGGCGAAGACAAACGGATGCACCCGTCTTTAGAACCAAAAATATTCTCTCACAGATTTCATTCCTGTTTTTATATATATATTTTTTGTTGTCGTTTTAACATCTCCACGTCCCTAGTATAAAAAGAAAAAGAAAAAAATTTTAACTGCTTTTTCGGAAGAACAACAGCAAAAACAGAGGTAGAGACGAATCTATAAAGTACTGAGACTTCCTGGGCAAAGAATGGACAATCAGTTTCCTTCCTGTGTCGATGTCGATGTTGTCTGTGCAGGAGATGCAGTTTTTGTGTAGAGAATGTAAATTTTCTGTAACCTTTTGAAATCTAGTTACTAATAAGCACTACTGTAATTTAGCACAGTTTAACTCCACCCTCATTTAAACTTCCTTTGATTCTTTCCGACCATGAAATAGTGCATAGTTTGCCTGGAGAATCCACTCACATTTATAAAGAGAATGTTGATGGCTGCGTCGAAGCCCCTCTGTGTCCATCCACGCGTGCAGGGCCGCCGCCAGGAGCTCACAGGGGGAGGGAGCAGCCTGCCCCCCACCCCCACCCCGGCCGGTCCGGCCGCCTGCACTGCACTTGCGGTCCCCGGAACGGGATCCCCCACCCCGACAATGATGATTTTGCAAAAATGAAAATTCTGTTCCTTTATCCATTGAGATCTGGGGAGCCCGTGTCTCGATGTTTCCGATCCTGGCTACTTTCCTTAGAGAAAATAAGTCCTTTTTTTCTGGCCTTGCTGATGGCAACAGAAGAAAGGGCTTTTTTGCGTGGCCCCCGGCCAGTGGGTGTGGGTGCCCAGGGTGGGGGGGCCCCTGCGGCCTGGGCCCCCTTGCCCATGGCCAGCTTCCTGCTGATGAACATGCTGTTTGTATTGTTTTAGGAAACCAGGCTGTTTTGTGAATAAAACGAATGCATGTTTGTGTCACGAAGCACTGCTGGCTTCTTGCTCTCCTGTTTGGGGGCTGGCTTGGGGGCTATTGCTGGGCAGGGGATATGTGGAGCCGCCCTTGGGGAGGAAGAAGGACGGCCTGGGGACATTGAGAGCAGGGAGTCTCTTGGGGAGTGAGGCCAATGGCTCCTGAAGGGGGTCGTGCGGGAACAGCTAGTCTGGCTGACATGGTGGAAGTATCCTGTACTGGAACGTTCTTGCCTGCCTAAGTATACCCTTTGCCTCAGAACCCAGACCTCCAGGGACCTCTGCTCATCCGGGGCCACCTTCTCTGTTGAGCTACCTTGTCAGGGCCCGGCCAGTGCAGGGCAGCTGGCATCCTGAGGTAGAACCCGAGCTGCCTGTTCAGGTTCTTGCTCGCTTGGTCCCTTACTCCCCCACCACCGAGGTGATCCCCAGGGAGCAGGTCTAACCCAGATTTGTGGGGACCCGCCTGTGCCCAGAATGCACACAGAAATACCCCACATGCCCTGAGAGCTGCTAGACCGAAGCCAGAGGGTAGCTGTGGCTTTGGTTCTCGTGCAACCTTCCCTACCCCCAGAAGGTTGGTTGGTGCAAGCTCCTCTGCGACCTCAGAGGCCAGATGTCTGGGGAAATCACCACATAGCCACATGGTCTGGACCAAGGCGGCGTGAACAGGAAGGGGTGACAGCTGCTTGGCCCCACCCCTGCACATCACAGAGGCCAGCCTACAGGATGAGACCCATCATCTATTTGCCCGCCAGACTTTCTTCCCACCCAGCTGCTTTGAGCCTGGCTGCAATGGAGGCTAGACTTGAGGAAGGACTTCCTGACAGTGTTGGGGCCTTGCTTCAGGTGGGTGAGGGCTTTGGGGATGAGGGGCAGGGGCTGGGGGAAGATGGGCTGCCTCTGCCACTGTTCCTGGGGCAGAGAAAAAGCAACCCATATCAGGTGGGGGCTCTGACCCTCAGCCCCTTCCCGGTGTCACAAGCTCCCTTAGAGCACCAGGAGCTCAGCAGCCTGGCCTGACACAGCGGGGACAGGCGGGGGTGGTGGGAGGCAGCTTTCAACTCCAGCTCTGCCTGGGAAAAATTCCCTTTCATGTGGCTGCCTGTGATCTCTCCAGGCGGCTCTGCCGAAGGGGGGCGTCCAGTGGGGGGTAGGGGGAGGTGTTGCAGCCAGGGGCACCCTCAGCCCCTGCACAAGGCAGACTGCAGCCCCTCCAGATCCTTGAGTGGGCAGGGAGGGACCTCCTCGGGAGCATCAGGGTGGCAAGCCCGGCCGGCAGGGGGCACCCAGGCAGGAGGCCCCTGCCTGCCCCCACGCTGCTGCTGGCAGTACACAGGCTGCAGATGGCCTCGGCCAGCCCTCATTGGCATGCCTACAGGTGTGGGGTGGATGGCTCCAGTGCCAGCCCGGAGGGGGTTGCTGTGACTCAGCCAGCCTGTACCTTTTTAGTGTGCCAGCCCACAGCCCAGCTATGGCTCCTGGGCCTATCCCTCAACACAGAAGCCCTAAGCTTGAAGCCCCTCACCCCTTTCCATTTGGCCTCTGTACTCCGCTTGTGGAAATGGTAGGCCAGCCCCTCTGCCTGGAGGCGGTCTAGGTAGAGCAGGGGTGGAGATGGCTGTGGGCTGAACATGTGATGAGACCTCAGTTACCGCATCTGGGAAACGGGCACAATAATCATCTTCCATAAAGTTGCTGGAGGATGAAATGAGATCATTCTGGGGAGGGCCTGGTTCACCCTAAGCCTTTGGTCCAATGGCAAGCTGCTGTTACTATTTTAAAATTGTTCACCTAAATCTCCCCAAGATGTCCCGCACCTTCTCCCCATGATGTGGGTCCTCCCTAAAGCCCTGGCCACCTCACCTTTCCCTCCCTTCCCCCTACAGTGGGCTAGCCCCGAGCGGGCCCCAGCCCTGTCCAGGCCCTGCTCCAGCATGTCTATCTCTAACCATTTCTGTCTGGCTCCCTGGCTCTGAATCTCTCTCTTGATGTTTTCTATCGATCTCTGAGTCTCTCCTGTGTCTCTCTGTCCTGTCATGCTTCCACATCTCTGAGTCTCTGCATCTCTCGCATCTCTGTGTCTCTCCCTGTATTCTGCACCTCTGTTTCTTCTGTTGCCAGCTCACCCCTGCTGCTCCCCTGCTGCTCTCCTGCTGACAGAGAAGTACTTAGAGGCAGGCTCCCTGTAGAGTTGTATGCCCAATTCCCCTCCCTCCGGGCACCCTCCGTTCCCCTCTGCTACATTTGGGAGTCTGACCTCCTGGTGACCTGAGAGCTTCAGCCGAGGCTCTCCTTTCCCTCACCTGGATGGTAGGGGTGGTTAGGGGTACACACACAGGGCTGGAGACAAACCCAGCCTCCATGCAGCACTGTGTGTGTGTGTGTGTGTGTGTGTGTGTGTGTGTGATATGAGAGACAGACAGATTTCAAGGCCCTGACAACAATATGAGGCCTTGTGCAACAGTGTGGCTATGTGTGACAGGAAAATAGGTCTATGTGTGGTAGGCTACGTGAGAGACCTCCTATGGCCCTAGGTTAATGTATGATGTCGGTAGCCACACTTTGGGATATTCTGTGACCTTGCACGTGTAAACCTATGATGCTATGCAATCCTGTAGCAGACTCAGTGTGAGGCCAGGTTGTATAACTGAATGTGTCACATTGGGCAACTCTGTGTGACATTAGAGATGCCACACAGATGTTGTATGGCACACATGACCCCGTGAGAGACACTGGGTGCTTCTGTGTGGTTTGTGACATTGTGTCTATGTGACCATCATGAGTGTGGCCCTGAGACTGACACCAGGGATTCTGTGTGAGTGTATGAGGCCGGCTGGTGACCATTCTGTGACCCTGTGACACCCCTCGCACAACCCTGGGTATGTGCTGGTGACATTGTGTGTCAGCATAACCCTGCAATCATCTTGGTGATACTGACACTATGTGCCACGTGTGGCTCTGTGTGCAGCTTTTCCTAGATCTCTACCCTGACAGCATGCAACTCTAAGGACAGAGTGGGGTCCCTGGCAGACCCCCTTAACCGCAGCCTGGTCCCAAGGCCCGGTCTGGGTGTGGGAGCTGGCGTGGGGGCAGCAGGCTCAGTTCCCACGGCTGCCACGGCCCCTCTCCCAGCCCTACCACCAGCTTCAGCTCCACAAAATATCCTGGCAACCCCAGCCTCTTTGTTCTCTGTGGCCGCCAAAGGCCTCTCCCCACCCCAGCCTGCCCAGCGCCTGCCAGGCGCCCCCTCCCCTCCAGAGCAGCAGGGCTCAGCCTGACCTGGTCCCTTAGTGCCTGGACACCCCCACCCGCCCCAGGGCCCCTGTCTCCTGCCCTGAGCCTGACTCAGCGCTCCAGACGGGCCTTTGACCCTCTGCTCTGAGCTTGCTGTGGTCTTGTGGTATCAGAAGGAGGAAGCAGCACAGCTCTCGGAGTGTACCAGGTGTTTGTGGGCCAGGAGCGAGACTCTATGCATGGATACTTGCCTTTGGTCCAAGGCTAGCTGGAGGTTGCCTTCAGCCTGGAGTGACTTCAGGTTGTTGCGTAAGTTCACTTCTTTGATTTCAGAAAATCATCAGGTTCGGAATTATTACTATTTTACAGATGTAAAACTGAAGCCCAGAGGGAGTATGTGACATGCCCAAGTCACAGAGCAAGATGGTAGCAAGGGTCTGATTAGAAGCTCGGGCTTCTGGCCTCCACCCCTGGCACCAGGCTGCTTTGGGAGGACTGTCTGCTTCCATGAAAAGGAAAGGGGACCTGGGAGTCTGAACACATGGGTCCTCTTCACTTCTCGGTCACTGTGTGTGTGTGTGTGTGTGTGTGTGTGTGTGTGTGTGTGTGAGAGAGAGAGAGAGAGAGAGAAAGAGAGAGAGAGAGAGAGAGAGAGAGAGATGGATGACCTTGGCCAACCACCCTTGCCTCTCAGTTTCTAGGAAAGAAGGCCAACATGACCAGGGATGCCGAGGTAGAGTGGGGCATCTGGCAGGGTGCTTTGCAGAGCAACAAGTTTCCCTCCCAGTGCCAAGACACACACCATCTCCAACAGAGACCCAGGGCTGTTGGCCAGGGGCCAGGTTCTGACTTGGGGCCTTAACCTCCATTCCCAGGCTTGACTCAGCCCTGTACAAGGGAGGTGGTGATGACCACTTGGCCTGGCTGCAGTCAAGGGTGCCTAGGCCTGTCCTGATTGCAGCTGCAGCTCCCACTCCCTCCTAGATGCCAGAGATGGATGGATGGAGGTCATTGTGCAGCCCAGCCTGGCCCCCTACAGCCCATCCATGGCCCCATGCTGGCAGGCCATGCTGACAACAGCCAAGGTGGGGGAGGGACAGGCAGCCACCAGCACCTTAATAATATAGACCTTGGCCCCGGCACCCTGCAGGCAGCTAATGGGCACAGAGAGGCCCAGCTGCTCCCAAGGTCACACAGCCCTGCAGGGACTCCCATCCCCAGAGGTCTACCTCTTCCCTGAGGGCCCCTTAAGGGCTCTTCCTGCCACACAGCTTGGAGAATGGCTGGGGATGAAGGGGGGGGGGGCTTCAGGATTGTCCCCTCGAGGCCCTGACCCAGCTGCCAGAGCGGACACTTTCATCTCTCTTCCCCTATCGACCTGCCATCCCTCAGAGGCATTAAATTCCCCTCCTGCCAGAGAACAAGGCCTGCCTCAGATTCCAGGCAGCAGGGCGTGAAAATGGGGCGGGCCCAGGACAGGAGAGTGCAGGTCCTCCAGGGCTCCAGGCCTGGGTGCAAAGTGCCTAGGCTGCGGTGGGGATTGGGGGGGCTCTGGTGACCAGCTACCAGAGTCCTGATGTTCGATTGTTCGGATGCACGTCTGTTTCTTGTTGCCTTCTCCCTTCTGACTCCTCTTCAGGTACTACGTCCATGGCCTCTCCCACCCCAGCAGGCCAAGCTTCGTGTCCCTGCGCCACCCCCATCACTGCACTGATGGCTCTGGGTAGCTTCGCCTGGCTTCAGGGCTGTGGCCAGCTGTTCAGCAGGGCTGGCATC